CGGGCCGAGGCGGTGGCGCATGCGCGCGCGGCCTTTCCTCCAGGCGGCGGCTCTGAGGCGCGAAGCGCGGCCGAGGCCCGGGCTGTGAGGGGAACCGGGACGGGTCCGGCTGCGGAGCGAGAGGGACAGAGGAGCCACCCCCCCGGCCTCCGGCGGGTACGGTAAGCCGGCACGGCCTGTCTCCGGGGCTGGGCCTGCGGCCTTCCTGTGCTTCCAGGCCTGCTCTGTGGTACTGGGCCTCGCAGGGCCTTCCTCCTCCTGCCTTCACAGCCCGGCCCTGCGGTACGGGGCCTCGGCAGGGCCTTTGTGGGAGCTGAGCCTTCCTCCTCCTGCCCTTACAGCCCTGCCCTGCGGTACAGGGCCTCGGCAGGGCCTTTATGGGAGCTGAGCCTTCCTCCTCCTGCCTTCACAGCCCAGCCCTTCAGTACAGGGCCTCAGCAGAGCCCTTATTGTACCTGTCTTTTTGGCCCCGTGCTGAGGTGCAGGGCTTTGGAGAGAGCCATTGACTCGTGTGCGGCAGTTCATGTTACGCGTTCTTAAAAAGAGAAGAAAAAGCTTTACTGGCTGCAGTTATCAGAGATTAAAGGTGTTGGGGGGGGGGACACATGCACCTCGTTGGGGGAGACTTGTCAGCACACTCTCGAAACCCAGCAAAGCAGCACTGAATGTGTTTGAGTCAGGATGACTGCAAATGTAAAAACCTTTGTGTGCAGGGTTTTCTGTTTATTATGGTTTGTGGAGGCAGCAGTTATTTAGCTAGTGCACGGGATGCATTTTGGGCACTGCAGCTCCTTAAGTTAGTATCAAACGTGGTCTTTTATTAATGGTCTGACAGTCTTAGCACAAGAGCATGGGAAGACAACAGGTTTTATAATTTGTGAAGTTACACATATGCTTTAGCCTGTTAAGGAAGCACGTGATTCTTACTTGATCTCTCAATGTCTTGCCACAGACCGGTGTCTGCAGCAGCCTCTTCTGTGCAGAGCTGAAGCTGATGTTCATGGACAGACGTAGCCTCCGACGTCATCAGGTAACAGAGCCTTGTCCTGTCCGTCATGCCATTTCCAAACAGCCCCCCCAGCCCTGTGCAAACCTGTCACTCGGTGGTCCGTGGCTGTGCCATTCTGCTGCATGAAACATCTCTCCTGTGTAAGTGAGCTCCTGCTATTGATGGCTTTGGAGCTGCGTGGGTCCCTGATAACGTGTGCCTGCTCTGTGCCTCCTCTGCCAGTTCTCTCCTCATTCACACTGTCTCTTCCCTTCACCCACATTGTGTATCTTCAGTGTCATTCTTGCATATTTTCCATTGAGATTCTCTTTCCCTGCCTGCCATCCCTGTCTCATTGTTACAGCTGCATCGCTTGTAAATGCTGTGGCACCTTCCCGGAGCTGGGATGAACTAACCCCTCTCCAGCTGCCTCAGCTCTGCTCCCTGAGCACCCACAGCTCCCACCTTCCCACAACCTCTGCTGCGAGCACACAGCTGTGGGTGGCAGCTCTCATTAGCCCTTTGATTTATTATAGAATGATTAGAGTTGGAAGGGACTTTAAAGCTTATCTAGTCCCACCCCCTGCCCTGGGCAGGGACACCTCCCACCACACCAGGTTGCTCCAAGCCCCCTCCAACCTGCCCTTGAACCCCTCCAGGGATGGGGCAGCCACAGCTTCTCTGGGCAACCTGGGCCAGGCTCTCACCACCCTCACACCAAAGAATTTATTCCTAATATCTCATCTCAATCTCCCCTCTTTCAGTGTCAAACCCTTCCCCCTTGTCCTATGGCTCCCCTCCCTGATCCAGAGTCCCTCCCCAGTTTTCCTGGAGCCCCTTGAGGGACTGGAAGGGGCTCTGAGGTCTCCCCGGAGCCTTCTCTTCTCCAGGCTGAACCCCCCAACTCTCTCAGCCCCCCCTCCCAGCAGAGGGGCTCCAGCCCTCCCAGCACCTCTGTGGCCTCCTCTGGCCCCGCTCCAACAGCTCCATGTCCTTCTGCTGTTGGTGGCCCCAGAGCTGGAGGCAGCACGGGGGGGTTCTCCCCAGAGTGGAGCAGAGGGGCAGAATCCCCCCCCCGGCCCTGCTGGCCACGCTGCAGGGGATGCAGCCCAGCATTTGGACCCATTCCTCAAAGAACTTCAGCCTCAAAAACAACAAAAAAAGATGCATACGGCTCCTTTAGAGTATTTTTCAATTTTTGGAGGACGTGGCTCTGGACTGGAAATGGGGAAATTTGGGACCAGTTTGGGACTGTTTCCCAGGCTCCCCGAGCAAAGTGGACGCTTGGCTGAACCAGTCAGTTCACCACCTGTAAAATAAGCCACTTCTACCTTTTTTCTTCACATTCTCCGAGGCCCCTCTGGCGTTAAACCCCGCTGTTTTGGGGGGCACCTTTGGGAGCTGAACCGCTCCTTTCTCCGGGGAGGCTGGAGCAGCCGCCGTGTCCCCGTGCCCTCTGCCGGGGTCAGCCCCGCCGCTGGGACAGGCCGTCGCGGTCCCCACACCCGCTCCCCAGCAGCGGGAGGTACTTTTTTGGGGGAGAAAATGCCAAAAAGGCATTTCCCGGCGCTTGGGAAATCCGTGCCCGTGGGAACGGGCGGGCGGAACCACTGAGCGGGGCGGGGGGGGAGGACACCCGGGCTGTACCACTGCTCTGCGCTGGGGGGCGTGCTGGCGTGGAAGGGCCCGCGAACACGTGCGGCCGGAGGGCCAGTCCAAGTGGGCCGGGGAGGACGGGGGAGGCCGGGGCGTACCAAGGGTGGCCTGGGGACAGCGGGGCGGCGTGTTTCGCTCCGTGTCGCCCCCACCGACGGGCAGGGCGAGCCGCTCCCGGGCCGCCATACCAATGTCTAAGGAGGAAGGGGCGGGGGGAAGCGGGCTGTACCAGCGCCGCCCTCGCGGGGGGAGAGAAGGTTCGTTCCAACGGCAGCGGGGTAGAGGGAGCGGTTCCCCCCGTTAGGTGTCGCGGCAGCGGGGAGTGAGGCTTGATCCAGCGCCGCTTCTACGGCGTCACCATGCCCTGCGCACCCCCGCGGTAGCGGCAGGTGGACGCGCCCGGCGCGCTGAAGCGGGGCGGGCAGGGCTGTACCAATGCCGTCGGAGGGGGGGGAGGAGGAGGGTGAGTCGGGCCGTGCCAATCAGCGGCGGGCGGGCCGTACCACGGGAGAGGCGCGGGAGGGGAGGGAGCGGCCTGTGCGCGAGGAGCCGTCTGGGGGCGCGCGGGCTCTCGGGTCTCTCCGCGCCGCACCGGGTCGAGCCGCAGCCCCCGCCCCGTCACGGGCCCCGCCGCCCACCGG